ATTTTTCAAAAATGGGATATACAAATTGCCCTCACGCTGGCAAGAAATCATTAATAATAATGGCAATTATATTATTTAATAAAGTTTATTGACGGTAAGAAAAATTTGTATTTTGTTTTATTCCAAAAACGGACAGAACTTTCCGGTAGACCTAATATAAAGATATGTATGCACTCAAATATTCTGAAACAAAAATAGATAAGAAAATGTTACCATGTTATTTATTTCTACAGGTTTAAACACGTCGTTATTGGTGTGAAAAGTCGCAACATCCTTCTGCTCTAATTCGTCGTATTTTATCTTGAGTATGTGATACTGAGCTTTCCAGTGATTAACTTCTTTTTCTAAATCACATGATTTTGCATAGAGAAATTCGTTACTTTCTTCTTGTGACTTTGGTGGCCTTCCCTCGCCAAGCGACTTCGACGATCTACGCGAAGCAGACGGGGAAGAAAACGGAGACGGTTCTGTTTGACGATGATTCGAAAACATTCCTCTCGTATCAAAATCGTAACCATCGCGTCTGCCCTCGTTACTTGACCACGATACAGTCTCCTCCTGTTTCTGCTTGTCGCTCAATTTTCTCTGCAAGTCAGTTCTCTCTCTTTCTAACTTATCTATAGCACTTTGATACTGGCATTCGGATTCTATTTTCGATTTTTCACAATAGTCAACTTTACATTCTAACTGGTGTATTCTATCGCACAGACTTTCAATTTCGCTATCCTTGTCACTAATTTGCGATAATAATTGAGCATTTTCGACTATCTTCTTCTGAAATTCCTCGTCTAAGATGTTGTTCGGTGGCGGTAACGGCGCCGGTATCTGACTGTTGTTCTCGGGTGCTTTGTTCTTGCCCTTCTTGGATTTGTTCTGTGCCTTGTCGAGTTCGTCTTGTAGCACAGTTATACGCTTAGTCAATTGCTGATTGCGAAATGTCAAACTGTCTATCTCCTGCTCGGCTCTTCGCAATTCCACTTCCCTCTCCTTCAACTGATTCCTAATATCCCCGTTACGCGCTTGTTCGTCTATCACAGCCTTTTTCAGAACATTCGCTTGCGCACGAATCTGCAAAGATCTTATCTTAGTAACACATACACGGATACAAAAAATACGATAAATACAAACGTGTGTGAGTTGTGCGATAAATTGGCAAACATGCAACGTGAATATCTGTTACGTCTTGCGAAATAGAGTGTCACCTCACCTTTGAGTATTCCGCGGCGATTTTCTGATACTTCGTCTGCAACTGGCCGTTGACACCCTCCATACCTTCCTTGCCCCAACCTCGAAAGATGCGTCGTCTCGTTAACGCGCCACGTCTGCCCCTCCGTGTGCTATTGACACCCGGACATTGTTTACGAGACCTTCGGATAATGTGCTCTCGGCGCCGGGACACGCATCGCTCATTTCTCGCACGTCCCACGTCGGCGCGTTGTTGTTTATCGACGAGTCTACCTGTACCAAGTAATCAAGTTAAGCCGCGATCGGCGAAGCCGTATACCGCACTCCATCAAACACGCAACGCGACCGCAAAACCCAGGCTCGTAAGAGAGAGAGCACACCGCTCTCCCGAGCGCACACTCTAAATGTGCACACTTTAATAAAACGCCCCCAATGCGATACGCGCCCTACCGCGAATCATCCCGGATCCTGTCTGCGTGTGCGACACTGCGACGTTGAAGCGAATATGTCACTTTGTCGAGAGAGAGAGCGAGAAAGAGAGAGAAAAAGAGAGAGAAAGAGAGAGAGAAAGAGATATGTAACGCACGCGACCAGACGGAAACTAGCTGTTAGCGTACTCACAGAAATGGTCGGTTCGCCGATATCGGCCGCATTTCATTGAATATATTTTGATCAAAGTGCAATGAGTGCGCAACAAATGATAAATATCCGAGATAAGAAAATTTCAAAACAAAACAGGTAATGTTTACTCAGCAAAAACAGTCAATACAAATTCTCATATTTCGAAGTAGCGTGTTTCTTTAAAAACTTTACGAAATTTGCGATCAAACAATTTTCTGCAATAAAAAAATGTACAACGTAAAAAATTTTACATATCTTAAAAAAATCAATTTATACACGCAGTGGAGAGTTTTCTCCCATATCAACTGTTATATTGTATATCTATAACGGTCTGTTGTAAAATGTATGATCAATTACACAGTTGTATATACATAATCATTCTCTAACTAAATGTAATAATAAATTACATAATTAATAGAAAAAAAAATTTCACAAAAATCAGAGAGAAGCGTGAAAGCGGCCAGGCCCATATAAGAGAATGTGTAATCACTTTTCCGCTCCGTAAACTAGCGCATGTCCACGGGTGGTGCACATTGGAACTACGCAGCCATGTCCACGAGCGACATGTCGGTGCGCTATGTCCACAGCGTGCGGTTCTATTCTGTGCTATGTGCACGAGTTTAAATGATTACCTTCTTCAAGTGTATGAAAGTATATTCGCGAGCGTGGATTTGATTTTTTTTGTAATTTAAAATGACCGGTCTCGTGATGAGAAGATGAGAAAGGAAAACAAAAAAGGATAAGAAAAAAACATTGCAACTTTTTACACAACATAAATGTGATATACAAGAAAAGATGTGACAGTCAAGAAAAGAATATTATTTTAGCGAGCAGCATCAGAATTCGTGGAGTGTATCATCTTCTTTTACATCATCATTTGCAGCTCTTCGCTTAATAAATTTTATTTTATTTTCTTAAAAACACTACATATGTACGTATAGATACAAAATACACAAAAAAACATGTATATTACACAAAGGTGTTTTACCGGTACACAAATATATATATTTGAAAAGTTGCAATTCCAAGAAAGATATCTATTACTCTGCTTTATTACAATTCTTTATCACAGTAGTTTCTCAATTTTCAAGTTTCATTTTACAATTTTTTATATATTATAATAGAATACAATAGTTTACGTACATTACACATAACATACAATATAATACACAATATACATAGTATATATAATCCTACCTACCTATCTTAAACATCTGACATATCTTAAACGTTACTAGCCTTATTAATTAAGATTAAGGCTGCATGACAGCCTTGATCCTAATTGTACATTTTTATTTCTCCTACCTATCTACCTCTGATCTAACATATTTCCTACTTATCCGGCCTAATTTATTTTCTATAAGCGCTTGTAGATACGCATCCCTGCCAACACAGATAGCTATTTACCTACCTACTTTGTGGAAAGTTTTAAAATCTAATTAAATAATTTACGCGAGGGGCAGTTGTTTTAAAATTGAAAAGTATTATTATTTCAAATATATTTTAGTTTCACGTCCGAGTTTTGTTTTAGATTTTATGATTGAAAGAAGAATTGTACCCACCCGATAAAGTCCATCATGTATAATTAGAAGAGATAGAAATATTAATATTCTATAGTAGAGATAGAAAAATATATATTTCAATATATATATTTCAAATATATATTTTTGCAAAGATAAAATAGAAAAGAATAAAAATGTAGAGAATAAATATAAAGAACATAAGTCTCCAAAAAAAGATTCTATATCGGTTCTTTAAGAGAAATTGATATAGAAATATAAAAGGGAATGTAGAAAAAAGATATAAAGAATATAAGTCTTTAAAAAAAAGATTCTATATCAGTACTTTAAGAGAAATTGATATAGAAATATGAAAGTGAATGTAGAAATTATAGATAAAAAAAGAAGAAAATAAAAATAAAAACAGCACATATATAGAAGAAATATTACAATATTGTTTTAAATCACACAATATATAAATATATGAAAATTTCATCAAAAAAGATATACGAGTATATTGGAAAATCAGTGCGATTACTACTCATGCGGAATAATTTATTCTTCTCTCAAACATTTTCATTGTAAAGATATAGAAGATAATAGATTATTTGATTCTTAATTATTATTTTTCCGGAAAACAATCATTTATATATGCTCAAATTCTATATCTAGGCATAATAATTTTGCATGAGATTAAGAAGATCTCATATATGATTGTATTTAATTGAGCATCATCAGATACAGAATATGTCCATATATGAAGGATTTTTTTTCTAGTATATTATAAAAAAAACCTGTTTTAGTATACTTTTAGTATACTTTAACTTACTATATTTAAAATTTCTAAGGCATGTAAGAACTGTAATTTGCTTGTGTAAATTATACGAAAAATTTAAAGATAATATATATATAAATATATAAAAGCAATCTTTCTAAAAGTAAATTGCTTATTATGTGAGAAGAATAAATTATTAAAAAAAATACAACGTACCGTTGCGCGTAGTCCCTCGCCGTCCATCGATGTATCTTCAACTCCTGTTCCACGTAGCAATCAGGAACCTACCTTTACTGTTGCACGATGCGACGAATGCGCGCCCACGACGAGATGATTGTAGTCCCACGACGCGAGACCACGTTTAACCTTACCGGTGGCCCCGTTGCTGTAATGTGTCGCGAAAACCGCGAATAACACTACTTTTACTTTTAAAAAAATTACTAAATAAGAATTAAGGCAAAATCTCCGAAGAACGCGAAAAATACCGTTATTTTAAAAGATAGAATATATGATAATAAATTTTAAAAGATAGAATATATGTTAATAAAAATGAAGTAAAAAATATAAATGAACAGAATATAAATGAAAGATAGAATATATCATAATAAAAATCAAGTGAAGAGTTGAAATGAACAGAATAGACTTTTATCGCGACTCTATACTTTATGTTTAAATATAAAAATATGTTTAAAGAGGGTAAATGTGTAGGGTAAATGAGAAGGAAAGAAGAATAAATTGAGGGAATCTTACTGTTAAATATTTTTTTTTCTTTTTTTTCTTTTTTTCGGTATAGGAAGGATATAGGATAGGTAGTATATAAAAAAAAAAATATTTTTTTAACGAAAAAGAAATAATATGTAACCAAAATAAGTGATTAAAAAGCACGAAAGTTTTAAAATTTTTTAAATGGTTTGAAATAATACGTCGCGCAGATTTTGCATAAAACTTATTATTGAAAATCAAAGTTTTGATACTAATTGTTTTGTTAGTACGGAACAAAATTGCGGTTTTAATTATAATAATGATATTTGCGTACTTTATACGCAAAACAAATTGCTCCGCAGATTCTCTGCGAATACAGTCTCGCAACTTTTGCGAGAGTCACTCCTCTTAGCACAGCAAAGTATCTTGCTCCGTTACTCAAACGAAGCATTAATTCGCAACTTTCTTGCAAAAATCGTTTATCGAAAACGGAACAAATCGAGAAAGCAAACGTCAAAAACATAGTAAAACATTCGACATATTAACACACATTCGAAATTTAATTGAAATTAAACGCGTAATCAAAATTCTTACGTAAAACTTTTCGTACGCGTACTTTATTTTCTTTCGCGAGATGGATTCTATCAATAATAGTTAATAATCGCGTGTATTCCAATAATCAAAATTAAAACTCGCGGTAATAGTAACGCTAAGTCGTTAAAATTAAATAAACGTCTGTTAATTTTAGTCTTTCCCGATATACTTTTCGATAGTATGTCTCTAAAATTTCTAACTTTGTCGTAAAATTCTCACGCAAAATGTATTCTCTAAAATGTACTCGATATTAATAAACAACAAAAATTGAGAAAAATTGCAGAAGTTTTAAATTAAAAAAATTCGCGAAATTTAAAACCGCGTACACGACCGCGATCGCGTGATTTTCTCGCACTTGCGAGGTCTAGGGCGTCGATTTCGACGTAAAGCGAACTAAATGTTCGCAATTTGTTAAATGTAAATGATAAATCATCGAGAAAAACCTGGTATAAAATAATCATTATATGAACCAATCTCGATGTTTTTGAAAAGAATAATCAGTATGTCTTTTAGCAATCTATATATCTTAATATACGTTTTTGATCAATGTAATAGAATATCTCAAAAGTATTCTATATTATTCTCTGTTATACTTTATTTTCTATGAGTAAATTAGATTTAAATATATAAATAAAGCGCGAAAACTATAATTTTATTTTTCAAGTATTTGTTTTTTCTCGACGTTTCAAGATAAATATGCAAAAACCACGTATCGCACTGATTTGATAAAATATCCCATCACCTACTTTAAAGATCAACTCACGTGCGCTGGCCACTTACTGCGACGACACTCTGTAACAAAATAAAATTCTATCGTTAGATTCAGAATTTGTGAAAAAAATTAGATATACTTTAATACTTTTACATGTAGTATATAATATTAATGTAGTATAATATTTTATATAAAAACAAAAGTATACCTTCGTGCCAGCATTTTATTGCCTGAACCGGGTCCTCCGGTACCGCAAACACCGCCGTCAGGAATACCATCATCAGCGTTACCAAAAGTTCACAGGAATATTGTCCGGATTGTCTTCTTTGGCACTTGATCACTTTCACACGCGCAATTAAGTGAATTTCTTTCGTAATTTTTATAAAAGTTGCTTTTTATATTAGACGTTACTTCACGATGAAAAATTTCACGTATATCAAACTATCACCTTGCTGTTTCGAGATTTGTTTTTTTGTAAAATAAAGTATCTTAAATGTATAAAGCGATGTATTACGATTGCACGTAACTCACATTTCTTTGTTATATGTACGTTATAGCATGATATGTGGAAATATATTTTTTATTTGAATTTTACAGAGAATTTTACAACAACAACCAGACTCTTTAAAATCGAGTCAACAAGAAGTACCGAATATTAAAAAAATCTATACGTTTATTCACGTCCGAACTCTTCTCAATGACAGTTA